TTACGTTTTCTTGCCCTGGTGAAGGGAGTTGGACTGGATGGCCTTAAGTATTTTCTGTTGGTCATGGGGGTTCTGTGTGGGAAGTTTGCCCCGATTCTGTTGTTTGTGGGCTTCAGAATGCTCTTTGATTGTAGGTGAACTGTGAATCCCAGTGACTACAACTACCAAAGGTCAAGATCTATTCCCCCAAACTCCATCTGTGTTCATATTTGGGCGTATTGAGTGCTTGTGCCCGGTGGTGCAGTGGGTTAAACCTCTGTGCTGGCAGGACTGAAGACCGACAGGTCACAGGTTCGAATCCGGGGAGAGGCGGATGAGCTCCCTCTATCAGCTCCAGCTCTTCATGTGGGGACATGAGAGAAGCCTCCCACAAGGATGATAAAACATCAAATCATCCGGGCGTCCCCTGGGCAACATCCTTGCAGATGGCCAATTCTTTCACACCAGAAGTGACTTGCAGATTCTCAAGTCTCTCCTGACACGACAAAAAAAAACCCACCCTTGTGGGAGGGTTCTCTCATATCCCTGCATGAGAAGCTGGAGCTGATAGAGGGAGCTCATCCGCGCTTTCCCTGGATTCAAACCTGTGACCTATATATTTATTTATTTATTTATTTGATACACTTGTATACCACTAATATCTCAGCCTAGAACGGCGACTCATTGCGGTTTACAGCAGTTAAAACAATCTACAATTTAAAAACATATACACATATAATAACAAATTCAATAACAAATTATTGGGCCACCAATAATAATCCCATATATCTCGAGTTGAAATCGCAATCCAGAATTCGTTGTCCATGTTTCCTGTCCTTAGTCATCAATATTCGAATTGCCACAGATTAGCCGAATGCTTGTTTGAACAGCCATGTTTTGAGTCTCTTCCTAAACACCATCAGCGAAGAGGCTGATCGTACCTCTATAGGGAGGGTGTTCCAAAGCCGGGGGGCCACCACAGAGAAGGCCCTATCTCTCGTTCCCGCCAGCCGCACTTCTGAAGCTGGAGGGATAGAGAGAAGGGACTCTCCGGAAGATCTTAGGGTCCTGGTGGGCTGATAGGCTGAGATACGTTCGGATAGATAAGTTGGGCCAGAACCGTTTAGGGCTTTAAAGGCCAATGCCAGCACTTTAAAAATGCTGTGTTTGTTTTGGGTGACATCATAACTCAAAATTCACTGGATAAATTGCCACCAAATCTGGCCACAAACCCACTAACCCAAGGCGTGACCATCATCGGAGATGGGATTTATGGTTAACCTACAATCAAAGAGCATTCTGAACTCCACCAACAATAGAATTGAACTAAACATAGCACACAGGACTCCAATGACCAACAGAAAATACTAGAAGGATTTGGTGGGCATTGACCTTGAGTTTTGGAGTTGTAGTTCACCTACATCCAGAGAGCACTTTGGACTCAAATAATGCTGGATCTGAACCAAACTTGGCACGAATATTCCATATGCCCAAATATGGACACAGATGGAGTTTGAGGAAAATAGACCTTGACATTTGGAAGTTGTAGTTGCTGGGATTTATAGTTCACCTACAATCAAAGAGCATTGTGAACCCCACCAACGACAGAATTGGGGGAAACTTCTCACACTGCACCCCCATGTCCAACATAAAATAATTAAGGCCATCCAGTCCAACTCCCTTCAGCAGAGCAAGAAAACATAATCAAAGCCCTCCTGACAAAGAGCCATCCAGTCATAGATATAGATAGATAGATATGATTCATACACAGATATAGTATCATAGATTTGAAAGGGACCCCTAAAGAAGGACAATTATATGTTGTCAAACCAGACACTCTCCATATCAACACTGATAAACAACAAAAAATACTGTTTACCTACAAGCATAAAAATATTACTTATATTAGAAATCAACACTTACTCATTACTTTATTGTCCAGATCATCAGACTGGGCCACAGCAATGCATGGCAGGGAACGGCTAGTACACTTTATAATTCATTGACAATAGATGCACCCAAGATTTGCCTAGCATCTCACTTTAAACTTGAATTTCGAGGCATGGATGGGATCCAAAAGGTATGGTAAAAGTGACTTGATTAAATTCTCAAGTACCTTTTGTTTCTGATGACAGATACATACATACCTATATATGCATATATACAGACATACACACAAAGAATTCACACTACTGGGAAATAAACTGTTCTTAGATTGCAATCTTCTGTGGTGGAGATCACCACCATGTCCCTCTATAAACAGAGAAAGAACCGTTACAAGACTCAGCTTCTGTGTTTTTATTAGCTTCATACAGCCCATAGAAATCCCCTGACCCAGGCCCGTAGCCAGGATTTTGTTTCGGGGGGAGCTGAGTTTGATTCGGGGTGGGGGGGATGAGTCTGAGTGAAAGAGGGTCTACCCTAGCAAACCTTTTGTATTGTTACCCCAATACCCCCATGCATATGGGATATATTGAGCATGGTGATCAGATCATGATATGAATCACATAACAGTTTAAATAATGTACCAGTAAGGCCTTCTCGCGGACCACCATGAGAATTTCGGGGGGGGGGGGGGCTACATGCCTGCCCTGACCTTGGTTTCCAAAGGAAGAAATATTTGCAACCTAAATGAAATCTGGGTGAAACCATGGCTCTACTTGAAAATTATAAATTGTAAATATATTAATAGTAAATTGGGTTAATTTTATTGTTGTTAACTTGTATCTTTTTGTATATTGTTGTATATGTATATTGTTGCTCTATTGTCTAGTTAAAATTCCCTGACTTAAGAGAAGACAGCCAAAAGACGGAAGGAGAAAGAGAAAGAGATTGATTGAAAGCTTTAGATTCATTTAAAAGCACAATAAATCCCGAAAAACAAGAAATGCCAAATGCAGCCTGCAATGTTGTTGGGAAGTCCCACCTTATATGAAAGATAAAATTAACCAGACTCAAATTGCCTGAAAGAAAGGACTTTATAAGAGACTTATCGCTTATAAAAAATATGATTCAGTTATGATATGCACTACACTTAGCGCACGAAGCCAATGTTCTGAAAGTGTATGACAACGGACGCAGAGAATGTAACCAAACAGAAAAGGAATACCCTGGGAGTGTGATCTATTTATCAAAATATGAAGTTGTCCTGATGGTTTTGCCTCAGTGTGTACTTTAGAATGTCAGCAGAATGAATCCAAATATTAGAACAGCAAGGCTCCGAGAGGATGCAACGGGAGAAATAATGAGTGATCGCACTCCTTCTTTTGGGAGACCACTTCTATTACAATCTGAGTTTCACTTCTAGTTTAGATGCCTGTTTGCTTTCTCCCTCCATCATCTTTTTTTTTTTGTCTTTTTGTGTCATTCCTTTTAAATTGCAAACATGAAAACAGGGATGGGAAAAAAATCTGTATTAACCTTTGTATGTATACTAATATTTTTCAATCTGTCACCTATAAAAATATTAGTGAAAACTGTGCATCTTTGTTTTAATATCAATAAGAAACAAACACAACTTGCACCTATTTTTCTTTTCCTTCCTTCCTTCCTTCCTTCCTCTCTTCCTTTCCTTTCTTCCTTCCCTTCCCTTCCCCTTCCTTCCTTCCTTCCTTCCTTCCTTCTTTCCCTTCCCTTCCCTTTGTTCCTTCGTTTGTTACTTCCTTCCTTCCTTCCTTCCTGCCTGCCTGCCTGCCCTTCCCTTCATCTTCCTTCCTTCCCTCCTTCCTGCCCTGCCCTGCCCTTCCCTTCATCTTCCTTCCTTCTTCCCCTTCCTTCCTTCATTTGTTACTTCCTTCCTTCCTTCCTTCCTTCCTTCCTTCCTTCCTTCCTTCCTGCCCTTCCCTTCATCTTCCTTCCTTCCTTCCTTCCTTCCTGCCCTGCCCTGCCCTGCCCTTCATCTTCCTTCCCTCTTCCCCTTCCCTTCCCTTCTCCTTCCTTCCTTCCTTCCTGCCCTGCCCTTCCCTTCCCTTCGTCTTCCTTCCTTCTTTCCCTTCCCTTTCCTTCCTTCTTTCCCTTCCCTTCATCTTCCTTTCTTCCTTCCTGGCCTTCCCTTCCCTNTCTGCTATGGCTGATTTCTCTGGTTGAAGTAGTCTGCAGTGCCTTTCATGTTCCTTGGTCAACATTTTTTCTGGCATTGCAGAGGAATTGGCTGATGCCTGCTGGAAGAGCACTATGGTTTGCTCATGTTCAATGAGAGGCCGAGCTTCTCGTATGCTTCTGCAAAGGTGTTTAGAGTGGCTTGTAGGCTTTCTTCTGAATGTGCACAGACTACATTATCATCAGCATATTGGAATCTATAACAGGTGTTCTTGTGACCTTAGTTTTGGTTTTAAGTCTGCTGAGGTGAAATTGCCATCTGTCCAATAGATGATCTCAGTGAATATCTTATAGAGCCTCAACCAATTCAGCACAGTTTGTGGCAGCCGCAAAAACTAAGTTTATGGAGTACTTTCAAAATAAGTATCGCACAATTAAACAGGAAACAACACTTTCAAACCAGGAACAGAAAAATCTTCAATTTTTTTACATAGTCTAATACGAGTGTGCATACTACTACCCATGGGTTGCATGTACCACAGGACTGCACCTATATGATTCCTTCAGCTCCTCTTAGTCCATGTTTTAAAAATTTGAGCAGTTTTCTCCTAAAAAATGTCATGAGCTGCAAGAGAGTCAATTTCGCAATTTTAGATTTTCGGCTTGCTTTGGAGGGATATGGCCTATAAGTGCATTTTGGGAGAATGGGCTCCTGGCCCCCACTGAGTTACTGACCACTTGCTTAGAAGATTAATAAAGATCCCACCCAATTGTAACAGGTGAATCAATGAATATTGATCTTCTCTAATTTTACATTATTGTTGTTTGCTTTCACTAACATTTATTAGCTAATCAGAGCATGGAGTTGGCTAATGGGAGCATTGAGGGGCACAGGAAAGCAAGATAAGGAATACAATAAATCAATATGTTTCCTATTGACCATCTGTCTCACTTGTTTTGTTTTGTTCTCTTTTCTGTTTCAGTGCTGCGCAGCCATTTACTCCAGCGTTTCTGGTTTGAAAGCCCACCTCGCCAATTGCAACAAGGTAATACGCTAACTCCAAGGTTGATGCCAGCTACTGACTCAGAGCTTGGAAGTCTCTCTTCGTCAAGGAGTATAAATCTTTACTTATTTCATTCTTGAATTCTAAGGTCAAAATAACGTTAGAGCATTTCCCTGTTAAAAGAGATATATGAGAATTTTAATGTGTTTCTCCTAGATTTTTTTTTCTCATGTCAGGACTTTTATTTTCTGCACATTTTGTTTTGGGCATTTTTGAAAAAAATGTATTTGACTTAATTTCCTTTTGTGATGGGACATCAGAGCCTTGATACAAGGTCTCGGTGCGTCAAGACACCATTCTCAACAATATTTGTATGAATTCTTTACATCTTGGGCTTTCGCACAGCAGGTTAATCACCAGCTGCAGTAAATCTGGACAACCGAAAGGTTGACATGTATTGTCGAAGGCTTTCATGGCCAGAATCATTGGGTGGTTGTAGGTTTTTTCGGGCTATATGGCCATGTTCTAGAGGCATTCTCTCCTGACATTTCGCCTGCATCTATGGCAAGCATCCTCAGAGGTAGTGAGGTCAGTTGGAAGTAGGAAAATGGGTTTATATATCTGTGGAATGACCAGGGTGAGACAAAGGACTCTTGTCTGCAGGAGCTAGGTGTGAATGTTTCAACTGACCACCATTTGATGGTCTGGCAATGCCTGGGACAATCTTTTGTTGAGAGGTGATTAGATGTCCTTGATTGTTTCCTCTCTGTTGTTTTGCTGCTGTAATTTTAATGTTTTTTTAATACTGATGGCCAGATTTTGTTCATTTTCATGGTTTCCTCCTTTCTGTTGAAATTGTCCACTTGCTTGTGGATTTCAGTGGCTTCCCTGTGTAGTCTGACATGGTGGTTGTGAGAGTGGTCCAGCATTTCTGTGTTCTCAAATAAAATGCCGTGTCCAGCATAAAATGCTGATTTCTCTGGTTGAAGTAGTCTGCAGTGCCTTTCATGTTCCTTGATTCGTGTTTGGGCAATGCTGCGTTGGGTGGTCCCTATGTAGACTTGTCCACAGCTGCATGGTATATGGTAGACTCCTGGAGTCTACAGCGCCCAAACACAAACATGGCCATATAGCCCAAAAAAACCTACAACAACCCAGAAAGGTTGGCAGTTCGAAACCCAGGTCAGGGTGAGCTCCTGACCTTCAGCCCAGCTCCTTGCCCATCTAGCAGATTGAAAACGGAAATGTGAGTAGATAAATAGGTACCACGTTAAAGTAGGGAAGTACTTAGGCACAGTGATTCTATCAAAAAGGAGGAAATTTACAAACAAAAAAGCTCTTCGGCAGGGAAAATGGAGCAACAGCAACCCCTGTGGCCAGAACTGAGCACAGCCTCCAAGATGCCAAAAGATGGGAAATTAAAAAGCACTTTAAAGAAATAGGTAAATCCAATTAGGTAAGAAGATAAGCAGGAGCAAAAATAGTCCAGGGTAAAGTTCAGCAAAGGCCATAAAAACAAAGTCCACATTTCTCTAATATAATTCAGAGGCATGAGTATGCATTCATACAATCCAAGAATCATGAAACAAGAAATGCTTAGACAAGAATCTTCCAAGCAAGGTTTCCATGAGACAAGGACGAGAACTTCACTTGATTCCAAACGATGCTTCATCTGACTATATTTCCCATACTTGGAACTTTTATCCCCTTGTTAAGCTATTCCATGCACTCAAAAATTGGTTTCGCTTTAATTGAGATTCCCTTATCTTTTTCTGTCGGATCCTGACAGACCACCAAAGCCACTGTTTGGTTTGCCTGTTTTGACTAATCTCCTGCCGCCTATCTATTTGGTCATTAAGTTTTGCAGCTGGGCCAGGTGCCTAGTTCTTTTCAAACCCCAAATCCTGGGAACTCTCTGGTAGAAATTCAGGAAGTACACTATCATCCCCACACCCTTCAGGGACATTCTCATGTGAAACTACACTTTGCACAGGGGTCTCCTGGTTCTTCTCTGCATCAGTATCATTGACCAAACCATTGCCATCTTGAAATTCATTGGCATCACTTCCCACATCCAAAGCACCCTGATCCTGAAAGACAATGACAGGCTGAACTCCAACAGCAGGTAAGAGACAGTCTTAACAGTCTGAGAGTCTAATGGAATGTGAGCAGTCTCAGATCTGATCATGTGGTCTCTAGCCCCTCCCACAACCTTAAGAAACATAGAGTGAAGGGAAAGCTGCATACCAAAACATACATATACAATACTAGCCATCCCCTGCAACGCGTTGCTGTGGCTCAGTCTGGTGATTTGGGAAATAGAGTAATGGTTTCTAATATATGTAATTCCTTTATGCTTGTGAGTAAACAGTATTCCTTGTTGTTTCTATGTCAGTGTTGATGTGGAGATTGTCTGGTTTGCCTACTCTGGAACATGCAACATATAATTGTCCTTCTTTAGGGGTCCCTTTCAAATCTAGGATACTATATCTATGTGTGAATCATATCTATCTATCTCTATCTATCTATCTATCTATCTATCTATCTATCTATCTATCTATCTATCTATCTCTATGGCTGTATGGCTCTTTGTCAGGAGGACTTTGATTATGTTTTCTTGCCCTTTTGAAGGGAGTTGGATTGGATGGCCTTAAGTATTTTCTGTTGGTCATGGGGGTTCTGTGTGGGAAGTTTGCCCCGATTCTGTCGTTTGTGGGGTTCAGAACGCTCTTTGATTGTAGGTGAACTGTGAATCCCAGTGACTACAACTCCCAAATATCAAGGTCTATTTCCCCCAAACTCCATCTGTGTTAATATTTGGGCGTATTGAGTGCTTGTGCCAAGTTTGGTCCAGATCCATAATTGTTTGAGTCCACAGTGCTCTCTGGATGTAGGTGAACTACTATTCCCAAACTCAAGGTCAATGCCCACCAAACCCTTCCAGTATTTTCTGTTTGTCATGGGAGTTCTGTGTGCCAAGTTTGGTTCAATTCCATCATTGATGAAGTTCAGAATGCTCTTTGATTGTAGGTGAACTATAAATCACAGCAACTACAACTCCCAAATGACAAAATCATAATTTTTGAGTGATGGTCACTCCTTGTGTTGTGAGACATTTTGTTGCCAAATTTGGTGTGATTTCGTTCATTGGTTCTTTTGTTTTTAAGGTACTCATTATGCACAGAGCATTTTTATATATATAGATAGTAAGCAAACAGAATCATATATAAGACAAATTACTTGTGGAGGCTTGAAGAAGGTTCCTATTTCCAACAGAAACATGGCAGGTTGCGTTGATTTGCATCACAATGAGTTCCCCTTCCAAAATAGGAAAAAATGGCTGAAAAATCTGTGGAAAATCACATTAATCCACTTCCAGTCATAAAAATCACTCCCCACTTCTAATAAATTTGCCCATCATATCTTTAAACTGCATGGAAATGCATCCAGTTTGTCTGGTTGGAACTGATAGTCTCAATCCAGCTGCAGAACAATTCGTGAAGTGTGTTCCTTGGCTCCACTCCCTTTGGGAGCTCATACATCACATTCTTGTCAATGAAGAATCGATCATGCTCTTTCAGCGGTAGATTGAGGCAGTTTATTTTTCACAAGATCAGTGGAAATGGGAATCCAGCCTTTTAATTAGGTGCTCAACAACCTAAAAGAGAAATTACCCAAGCTTTATTGATCAGGTGGTGGTCGTAAATTAGAGCAACTCCCAGCAGCTTGTAGACATCTGTAAAGTAGAATGAGATTGCTGATTCTGTCAGTCTCCCTTTTCCAGCAGCATTGAATACAAAGTACCAAAGGTAGAATTCAGATTATTCAGGTGATCATTTTTTTCTACTGATACTTCATGGGGATAGTCACCAAAATATCCATTCTGTCCTAAAACCTGCTAATTTGCTTTATATCACAGGCATGGGCAAACTTGGGCCCTCCAGGTGTTTTGGACTTCAACTCCCATAATTCCTAACAGCCTCAGGCCCCTTCCTTTTCCCCCATGGTCCAGTCAGGAATACATTTCGTTTTAGGTAACCATGGTCTGGATGGAATGTATCCTCCATGGATCCAAAGGTCTTACAATAGATAGATAGATAGATAGATAGATAGATAGATAGATAGACATGAAAGCTCACCCAACTACAGTCCAAAGTGCTATTCACTTACGCTCAGGTGTCGGTGGTGGGCGGGAGGGCCTTCGCACAATTAAGACTCGTGCGCCAACTGTGACCGTACCTCGTGAAGTCGGATCTGGCCAGGGTGGTCCATGCCTTAGGCACCTCCACATTGGATTACTGTAATGCACTTTACGTGGGGCTGCCCTTGAAAACAGCCCAGAAATTTCAATTGGTACAATGGGTGGCAGCCAGGTTACTAACCGATGCTTCTTGCAGGGAGCGGTCAACCCTCCTGTTTAAGGAGCTCCACAGGCTGCTGTTCATTTTCCGGTCCCAATTCAAGGTGCAGGTTCTAACCTACAAAGCTTTGAACGGTTTGGGACATACCTACCTGCGTGACCGCATTTCTGTGTACGAACCTACACATTCCCTTCGATCATCTGAAGAGGCCCTGATCGCGATCCCACCTCCTTCACAGGCGTGATTGGTGGGAACGAGGGAGAGGGCCTTCTCGGTGGTGGCCCCCCGACTCTGGAATTCACTCCCTAAGGACATCGGACATGCCCCAACCCTAGCAGTCTTTAGGAGGAGCCTGAAAACGTGGTTGTTTCAGTGTGCCTTCCCAGAATAAGGAAAACTCTTAGCAATATGTCCTCAAATGCACTTTAATACTGACTTAGGATTGTCTACGCACCCTTGTGGTGCAGTGGGTTAAAGCACTGAGCTGCTGAGCTTGTTGATCGAAAGGTCGCAGGTTCGATTCCGGGGAGCGGCGTGAGCTTCCGCTGTCAGCCCTAGCTTCTGCCAACCTAGCAGTTCGAAAACTTGCAAATGTGAGTAGATCAATAGGTACCGCTCCAGCGGGAAGGTAACGGCGCTCCATGCAGTCATGCCGGCCACATGACCTTGGAGGTGTCTACAGACAACGCTGGCTCTTCGGCTTAGAAATGGAGATGAGCACCACACCCCAGAGTCAGACATGACTGGACTTAATGTCAGGGGACTACCTTTACCTTTTACGCACCCTTATCTTTCTGTGAAAACCCTATTCTAATTTGCCTTACTTTGTTCATGCCCAGCACTTTTTGATTTTAAATTTGAATTATTACATTTGGCCCGGCCTTAGGTTTTTAAATGCTGTATGTTTTGATAGTGTTATTGTCTATTGCTTATTGTGTATTTTCAGTTTTTGAGTTATTTTAACTGTGTTGTATTGATTATTGTTATTGCTTTTGTTTATTGATGTAATGTGGGCTTGGCCTCATGTAAGCCGCACCGAGTCCCTTGGGGAGATGGTAGCGGGGTACAAATAAAGTTTTATTATTATATTATTATTATTCTCTAAGGCAGTGGTTCTCAACCTGTAGGTCCCCAGGTGTTTTTGCCTACAACTCCCAGAAATCCCACCCAGTTTACCATCTATTAGGATTTCTGGGAGCTGAAGGCCAAAACATCTGGGGACCCACAGGTTGAGACCCACTGCTCTAAGGCCAACATTATAACCTCCAGAAGATTTTGTAATAGCCACAAATGAAGGTTGCAGTAGGAGAAGGGAACTCTCACCGCTGTCATTTGCTTTGCAGGGAGACCACTCTGTGGGGAAGTATCGTTGTCTTCTGTGTCAGAAGGAGTTTAGCTCAGAAAGCGGAGTCAAATACCACATCATTAAGACTCACTCAGAGGTAAGTGGTGGGTTTTGTGGGCAGACGGCATTGACAAAGCTTTTCTGCGCCAATGTTCACTGGAAATTAATGGGCTGAGTTTAAGAAAGGGGTCAACCAAGGGCAAGATGGATGGATGGTATCCTTGAAGTCACTGCCTTGACTCTGAAGGAGCTGGGGGTGGCCACGCTGACAGGGAGCTCTGGCGTGGGCTGGTCCATAAGGTCACGAAGAGTCGGAAGCAACTGAACGAATAAACAACAACATGTCCCCTCCTTTTAAAGCTATTTTGTGGATGGCTAACTATAGAGATTCGTAGAGAGAACGCATTAATCAAAATCCACACGAGTTAAACCCATAAATATAGATGCCTCACTCCGGTGGCGCAATGGGTTAAACCCTTGTGTCAGCAGGACTGCTGACCAAAAGGTTGATGGTTCGAATCCGGGGAGCGGAGTGAGCTCCCATCTCTCAGCTCCAAGGGACATGATAGAAGCCTCTCACAGGATGGTAAAACATCCGGCATCCTATGGGCAACTTCCTTACAGACAGCCAATTCTCTCACACCAGAAGTCACTTGCATTTTCTGAAGTGGCTCCTGACACCAAAAAGCAAAACAAAACAAAAAACACACTGTATGTTCATGTTGGAGAAACTAGCAATCTTGCATGCAAACATTTGAAATTGTTAGGCCATGCGTGTTCCTGTGTAGGATTGCAAGAGTGCTTGACAGGTTTATGGCCCTCATAAACTTTGCATGTGGGGTTTGGGAAAACTTTCGCCATTGACAACAGGTGGCAAGGTACGTAGGCATGCTCTTTGATCCCACAAATGTATAAAAGGAAGAGGCATTGCTTTGTCTCTTATCCGTTCGTCTTTTTCTCTTTCTGCTTGCTGTTGCTCCTCGCGGTCCTGCTATTTGGCATGGAGCTACCATTTTGGGCAATGTAGTTTGCATTCTAGGTGGGGCCTCCTTCTTCACCTTAGGCCTCATGTATTTTTCTTGCTGTATTTTGGATTTGTACCTGTAACCAAAGATTTGCCTGTATGATTTTCCTTCAAGCAAGTTTCGTGTTGTTGTGTTATTCTGGTGTTTCTGAGTATTATTTCCATGCATGCCTTTTTGATGGGTGTGGATGTTTGATTAGTAGTTGATATAAAGCTTTCAGACCCTGCGTGCGTTACCTTTTGTGTACCTTTGCTCTAACTCCTGTTGTACCTGTCTTTGGCTTTTTAAGCACACTGCTTTATACAGTATCTTTTAAAGGGGGATTATCTAAGTCAAACGGTTTGGTACAAGTGGCTGAGGTCTTCTGTACATTAAGCATTTGCATAATAATCCAATAATTCACCCCATATGCTCATCAAGATAATGCCTCCTTTTTGGGGGTTGGTAAATGTAAATAAACAGAAGCATTATCAAAGTTTTGAACCAAGATTTAGCCTGCAGTATAATAAAGTATCTCTCGGGCTTGTGCAACAAGTAACAGTATCTTTACTTCAGCTCAAAAGTTCAAACACAACAGCAATATTTATTTATTTGCTTACTTACTTACTGTATTTGTATACCACCTTTCTCAGCCAATCGGCAACTCAAGGTGGTTTCCAACAAATCAGTATACATGAAACATAATCGATAACAAACATTAAACAGTATAAGACATCACAAAAGCAATAAAAGCAACATCATCAGCGTCTCATTATTCTCAAGCATTGTCCAATTCCATTGTCAGGTCATTTGATTTCCTATATTAGCTACTCTGTATTTGTAAACGCTTGCTCGAATAGCCACGTTTTAACTTGCCTCCAAAACATCAAGAGGGGGGGAGCAGATCTGATCTCCCTAGGGAGGGCATTCCATAGCCGAGAGGCCACCACTGAGAAGGCCCTGTCTCTCGTCCCCGCCAAACGTGCTTGTTACGAAGGCGGGACAGTCTTTAAAATATGCTTCATGCCTTAAAAATGATCAGGTTTCAGAGAGTTGGCAGCCATTTCCTTCCTGACTGTTTCCAGTCAGCACTCTCTTCACTCTCCAAAGTGAAAATGACAGTTAAAACCATTTGTCTCAGCAGCAAGCCAGAGACAGCAGCCAATCAGAACTCTGGCCCCTGGCATGCTGCTGACACATTTCTTTCCAGTTGACCCATTACATTATGGTGTCTCTTTTCACATCCTTACATCCTTCTCTTCTCCAAAATACAGAACTGGTTCCGAACATCTACGGAGGCCATCCGGAAGAAGAAGAATAGTGGGGAACACAGCCCTCCCGGCAGCGAAGAAAAAAAGCAAAGCACAGACGGGAAAAAACGAGGTCGGAAGCCAAAGGAAAGGCCCCCGGAGTTTCCCCTCAAAATCAAAGAAATCACGCCAGGAAAGACTAACCATAAGAAAGCCATGGAGTTGTGGCAGACCGTGGACTGCAACCCCGATGGGAGGGAGAAAGGTAACAAACCCTCCCAGAGCAAGAAAGGGGGTTCCAGTAAAATGCCAGAGAAATAAGAAGCTGGGCGTAAAAACACTCTTTAAGGATTAGTTTACAACCCAGGGTCACGGGGGCGAGGGGAGCACTCCCCATTTGCTCAATGCCTCCACCATCTACTCATCCCCTCCTTTTTTAAAAAAAGCACGAGAGACCACTTTTGCAGCATCACCACAGACATTTGTTTTCGCGCTGGAAGAGGAAAACGAACGAGACGGCCGGTATGATTTCTCTCTTGGGAACCTCCACAGATTGTATATATGTATCTGTACTCACGCCTGTGGCGCATACGCTGCCTCCGCAGTTGGGTCAAAAGGATAAGAGGGTTGCCGGTGGGGAGCCGCGTCCATTGCTTGCTTCCTCCAACAAAGGAGAGGAAACGGGTGCAAAAGGGGCGAGCAAAGTGCAATAGGAACCCAGGTGTAAGCTGGTTATATGCGTCCTTTTTTATTACTATTATTTGTGGATTGCTTTTCAGGTAGCAGTCATGTGTTAGGAGGTAGCGCTGGTGGAAAATCTATGAATGATGAAATTATTGTTGTGATTGTGGTTACGAACCAGCTTCCTTTTATAATTTTCATAGGAAATGCTTTTTCAAAAAAAAAAGAAGAAGTCTGATGAGATTGTTTAACAATGGACAATTCAGAATAATTCTCCCTCCCCTCACCCATTGAGTTGATTATTGTTTCTTGTATTAGTTAACTTTGAGCTTACTTTTGCATTTTGATTTGCTGGTTGATTGACAAGCAGCTACCAATGTTTTGAGAGCTATAATTTGGATGTCAGGGTTTCAGTGAGACAAACTGCCTTTTTCCAAAAAATACAATGATTTTTTTGGGAAGGAGTGGACTTTTGGCACTGAGATATTTTTGGAAGGATTTTCAACGCTTTCATGGCCAGAATCATTGGATTGCTGTGAGTTTTCCAGGCTGTATGGCCATGTTCCAGAAGCATTCTCTCCTGGCATTTAAAAAGGAACACTAAAAAGGGGAAAATTCCTGACATGAAACAATCAGGGCCAGCTAACACTTCCCAACAAAAGATTCCCCCAGGCAGGAAGCAGCCAGGCTTTGAAGCTACAAGGCCATTAAATGCTAAACAGAGTGACCAATTGCAACAGTCACACTTGCCTCAAGCAGACAAGAGTTCTTTCTCCCACCCTGGACATTCCACAGATAAATCAACCCTACTTGTCTAGTTTCCAACAGATCTCATAACCTAGATGTGGATGAAACGTCAGGAGAGAATGCTTCTGGAACATGGCCATACAGCCCTGAAAACGCACAGCAACCCAGATTTTTGCGGACTAAATTGTCCACAAAAGTTAATTCTGTATATACCCATAGATAAGTCGAACTCATATGTAAGTTGAGGGTGGATTTTGGAGCCATAGTAAGTCAAGGGTCATTCAATGGCAAGGAGAAGTGTTGGCCCCACCTCAAAGGGTCAGCAGCACCTGGCCACCACATGCCTTGACATTTTCCCATTTTGCCACTCTACTGAGATAAGCAGATGGTTCCTTTTTTGGTGAAGGCACAGTATTGTCTCCTATAAAAAGGGGACCATCTCCTTCTCTGAATACGGTGATGAAAGACAAGAGCTTAATCCATCCTAGGAGAACCTAAAAGAAACACCGACCCACCTCTACTCTCTTGGATGAGTTATACAGGCAGTCCGAAGTTGCAAACATCTGACTGATAACCGACTCATAGTTAAGAACGGGGATGAGACAACAGGAGTGAGAGAAATCTGTCCTTTGCGAGTGAAATTCAGTCATGGCAGAGTTATGGTGTCTCAAAAGAAGCTTTATCACCAATCCTTGCTTCTACAACAAGCCAAATTTTTCAAAATCCAATTATCACAGGGACAGAAAGTGAGGTGAAATCTTCTGAACAGGGACACAGGCAGCAAAGGGAACCACACAAGACTATCAACCCTTCACTATGCTATCAAGAGCATGCATGCATGTGTGTGTGTGTGTGTATGTGTGTGCATATATATACATACACACACATACATACACATACATACATACATATGGCTAGGATTACACTTAAAAATGTACCTGTTCTGACAAAGCAGCAGAGAAAGTAGAGGAGACTAATTCTTTTTTCAGGACTTCCCAGGACAATCAAAGTCCTCACATTTCTCCCTTTACTCTGAGAAGGGAATATTTCCTCTTTGGTAAGGGTTAAGGCAGTGGTTCTCAACCTGTGGGTCCCCAGATGTTTTGCCCTACAACTTCCAGAAATCACTGCCAGTTTACCGGCTATTTCTGGGAGTTGAAGGCCAAAACATCTGGGGACCCACAAGTTGAGAACCACTGGGTTAAGATATGGCATTCCCATTGACCCATTGGTAAACAAGCCTGCATTTTCTGAGTTGATTGTATGACTAAAATGCCTAGAAGTATACCTGAGTATATACAGTAATTATTCAAAACTGTTAATTTCTATAGGGCATGGGAAATGTTCCTGTGTAGGATCCTTGAGCTTGTGGTGGGCAATGTCCTGGCATATGTGTTTCCTTGATTCATTGTTTTCAGGCTTCAGTGGCCTCACCAAGGTGTTACCTTTTTCAGTGAGTCTTGCACAACTCACACGATGAATGAGATGACTGTGGGCCAGTATGCACTGCCTGGTATATATGTTCAGTCTCATAATTCTGGCACAGAAAATTTCTAGGAGAAAATGTTTCTGGTATTAGCCAAGAGCGCTGTTTCCCATCATTGGAAAACATCAGAGTTTGACTGTGGAAATATATGTGCTTAGTTCTCATTGTAGTTGTAAAACTCTTGTCAGGACTGTACCACTTCATGCTGTGAGGATGGGGATATTACTTACTTACTTAGGCGATCCCTCTTTGTCCAAGTAAGATTGTCCTCCAAGTTCAGTGTCCTGGCAGTGGGTCCGTAGGTGACTCTGGAGCCCTATTCTTGACCTGCAAGTTCTCCCGCAGTGAAGGCATTGATTTCCAAGTGGAAGGTGCTCCCGGTCAGGTTTGGCTTGATGTGCCTTCCTCTTGGCACGTTTTCCTCTTTCGCCCTCCGTTCATGTCTCTTCAAATTCTACAGCACTGTTGGTCACAGCTGACCACCAGCTAGAGCGCTCAAGGCTAGAGCGCTCAATATAAGGCGTCACAATACGAAATGGTTTTTTTTTGTGCATAAAATAGAAGGAAAAAATTCTTGGCCAGGATTCTAATTTCTCACCCAACTTGTTCTGAAAAGAAGCAATGAGGAATTTTAGCAGTTTTTTTCCCATTGCAGGAAAGTCTTTGAAAAAGGCTCAGTTTTCAAATACTGTTTGCAGTTCAAGACTTCTTCTGTGCAAATTTTGCACATTTTTTATTTTTATTTTTTGCATAGGAAATGCTTTTGTTGGGACTGGTTCTACACAAAAGTAATTTTTTTTTTTGCACAGGAAACAGCATTTTCTGCACAAAAAATGGGCAAAGCTTCCACACAGAATAAGTCCCGAATTGCAAAGTTTGTTCTTAGGCCAATAGAGCTCACAATAATTTGGGGTTTTGCATATCCAAGCAAATTCAGCATCATATCTCCTATGGATATACAGGAGCCATATTGTACTATAGAGTGAGTTCTATAGGCTGATTTGTGGCTCCTGGGGTTTAAAAACATTTTGTTGTTCCCAAAGTACTATCTAAGGCAGGGATCCTCAAACTAAGGCCCAAGGGCCAGATACGGCCCTCCAAGGTCATTTACCCGGCCCTTGCTCAGGGTCAACCTAAGTCAGAAATGACTTGAAAGCACACAACAACAACAACAACAATCCTATCTGATCAGCCAAAAGCAGGCCCACACTTCCCATTGAAATACTAATGTTTATATTTGTTAAAATTGTTCTTCATTTTAATTTTTGTATTGTTTTTAAGTGTGTGTGTGTGTGTGTGTGTGTTTACACTACAGATAAGATATGTGCAGTGTGCATAGGAATTCATTCGTGCTTTTTTCAAATTATAATCCGGCCCTCAAACAGTTTGAGGGAATGTGTCCTGGCCCTCTGTTTAAAAAGTTTGAGGACCCCTGATCTAAGAGAATGTACAGGGGGCTTGCACCAAAGTTTTGGGAATATCCTGGACCAAAATATGCATAGGAAAGGCCTTTTTCGAAACAGGAGATGACTTTCTCTCACTTCTTTTTGCTATAAAATGTACAGAAGGAAGATGCATTTGTGGAAGTAAACATTGCCAGCTTCTATGTATTGTCGAAGGCTTTCATGGCTGAAATCACTGGGTTGTTGTAGGTTTTTCCGGGCTATATGGCCATGTTCTAGAGGCATTTTCTCCTGACGTTTCGCCTGCATCTATGGCAAGAATCCTCAGAGGTAGTGAGGTGACCTCACTACCTCTGAGGATGCTTGCCATAGATGCAGGCGAAACGTCAGGAGAAAATGCCTCTAGAACATGGCCATATAGCCCAGAAAAACCTACAACAACCCATTTCCAGCTTCTGCTATCCTAAATGGCTATGATGTTTGTATGGTTAGATGCTCTAAGAATTTAATAGACTCAGTTGTATGTTATCATATTATTTTAGGTAGATTGACTCAATCAAGGAAGCCATGGCTGTCTTGAATTTGCAGGATATGAACAGGACAGTAGGTGACTGGAGTCTCGAAGGTCTCTCATTTATAGGGTCACCATAAGTCATAGAATCGTAGAGTTGGAAGAGACCTCATGGGCCATCCAGCCCAACCCCATTCTGCCAAGAAGCAGGAAAATTGCATTCAAAGCACCCCTGACAGATGGCCATCCAGCCTCTGTTTAAAAGCTTCGAAAGAAGGAGCCTCCACTACCAATCTACCATAGGATTGTAAGAGATCACAAGGATGAAATATATGGGGGCTATCTCTGAAAAATTGCTACCACATTTTTTAAAAATCAAAAGTTGTTTTTTTTGCTAAACAACCTGGGTTTTATGATATGTATTTCTTCACAGAATAATTTCTTGATATACTTCAGGATGTGCAAACACTCTGCAAGTATTTGTTTTCTTCCACCAGAGGAAGAAATCTGTGGAAAATATTCACCTTGATATGCAAGGATGAAAATGTGAAATATTTGCATCTCTATCACCCCCAGTGGTGCAGTAGGTTAAACCCCTGTGCCGGCAGGACTGAAGACCGACAGGTCGCAGGTTCAAATCCGGGGAGAGGCAGATGAGCTCCCTCTATCAGCTCCAGCTCCTCATGCGGGGACATGAGAGAAGCCTCCCACAAGATGATAAAAACATCAAATCATCTGTGCATCCCCTGGGCAACGTCCTTGCAGACGGCCAATTCTCTCACACCAGAAGCCACTTCCAGTTTCTCAAGTCACTCCTGACACGACAAAAAAATAAATAAATCTCTATCGTCCTCTATCGTCATAATTTTTGAGACAAAGGTGCATCAATGTTCCATAAATTGTCATAGCCATAGGAATTGCTAAACCAACTGGAAAGCATGACATTCAGGATATAAAGCCATCCTATTCCCAGTGACTGTGGTACCTGCCGTTTATATCCATCCATGACCATAATGGCTGAAGGAATGATGGGTGTTGTAATCTAAGATACCAGCAAGACATAGGTTGAGAGAGATTGACCTGAT